AACTTCAGGATACACACACAGGTGCCCAAGTAGTCCTATGGCTGCTCCATTATATCTCTATTTTTAACAGCTAGACCTTCACTAGGCAGCGCTTAAGGAGACATTGCCCAGGTACTATACTTGACCCACTTTCTTCTTTCACCTTTCTCCTTCCCTTTATACCAGACTACAAAGTGTTCACGATTCTTTATTTGTATCACCTAGAATTGAACCAAACATGATTGAAAATTTTATTTCATTAAATCGATGCCCCAGTGAGCCACTGCTCTATAAGACCCATAGAGAAGAGGAATGAGAAACACAGGCATTTCTTTTAAAGGGAACCAAGAGGACATGAAGGAGGGCTAGAAGCACAGGAGGAAACCCATTCGGTTTTGGAAACCAGAAAAAAAAAAAAAAAAAAAAAAAAGAATCACTGAGCAGTGTTAAAAGTTCACCTTCTGAATCCTTAAAGCCGAAATTTTAGAAAATTGCACCTGCTGAAGAGAAGGTAGCAGAATGGGGCTATCAAGTCAACTTTGGGGTTAACACACCTGGAAGCTGAGTTAATTACAGACCCTATGCCTCAGTGTCCTTCTCTGTCAAATGGGGCTGAGCTTCCCATGTTTGTTGTGAGGTTTAAATATGTTGTCAAATATAAGACACATATCCTGAAGCCTGACACGAGGTAAGTATTCAATCAATTTCAACTTCTCTTCCTCCCACGTTTACCTGTGTTCTCAGAAGCTGTCTAACGGCTGTCACCCAAAACTTTCAGAGCTCAGGCTCCAGACAGCTGAGCCTGGAATCACTCTGGGCAACCTAAATATTGGAAAGTAGTGTGTATTTCAGTTCTAAATATTTTCTCCGTATATCGATGGAAAATTCACCAGAAAAGTGACGTGTTCTCTAGATCTACTCTGAACGAGTGAAATGCTGAAGGGGAAATTGGAGACCTTAGTTGGGGAGAGGTGTGCCCTCTTTGAGAGGTGTGTTGGCATCATTCACTTAATGTGATTGATTACCAACCAGGCTCTGTTACTTCAAGGAAATCTGGCACAAACAAACAAACAGAATGAGGCACCAAAGGTGTTAGAGATTCACAATGCCCTCCACCCCCAAGGCCCTCAAATGCAAGTAAAATTGGGGTTTCCTGGCACCCAGGGGAAGCAAACACACCCCAAATGCAACAAGGCATCTGGAAATCCCATGACATTCTACAGCACCAAGCAGAGACTTCCAGTCCCCAAAATCAATCCCGCAATCGAACTAACCCATCCATCATAAGCAACCACATTTTGAAGGACACAGGAAGGACAGAGAGAAAATGGAGGTTCAAATGGATGTCTTTGGGTATTTTTTTTTTTAAATTATTATTTCAAACTGTTTGGTTTTCCTCTTGGTGAATTTTTAAAAATAGTTTGGTTTCCTTTTATTTTGACAAATAATATGAAGGATCTATTCACTTCCTAGAAAATAATGTCGACTTTTAATTAATTCTGGCACAAACCAACTATCCTATCCAGTAGCTTTTCAGTGTCCCTTTCGCCCGTGTTCAGACAGAAACTGCAGATAGTTTGACTTGGCTTTGAATTGTATCACCAAACACAGTTTCCTGCTTGCACCCAGAACAAGTCCCTTTGTGCCCTGATAGTTTACCCAAGTTATATTATTGTGTCTCATCAAGCTATTTTTCCAGCGTCTGATTCATTTACCTACAAGCTGCCATTTCTGCAAATGCTCAATAATGCAAAATTTAAAAATAACCAAGAAAGAACTCAACCAAGTGAAGGAGGAGTGCCTGATACAGGGCAGAGTTCAGAAATCAGAGGAGCAAAAAAAACGTTTAAAGAATCGGGAATAAGACTTCTTTATTTAGGGCTCAGAAATAGCGGGGTTAGGCTGGCCTCATTTCTGGGTTCCATATCGGCTTCTGTAAACCAATGTCTACTTGAAAGACAGCCGTGAAAACCCTCTGTCAGTACTTTGCATGGTCAAGATTACACCTCCCTGGACACCAGCACCCACTGCTTGATCTCGGGGTTGGGGCGGCGGGGCAGGGAGCAAACCATCTATAATCCACGATGCGTTAGTTTTCATCCGAACAGCCTACCTAAAGAATTCTGTGCATTTCATAAAAAGCTTGGCTTTCTTTCTTTGTAAAAGAATAGCTTTCTTTCTAAAAGACAGGCAGAAAGGAAGTGAAAGGGGCCAGAGGGAAGGAGGAAAGGAGAAAGAAAGTAAGGAGGGAAGGAAAAAAGAAAAAAGGGTCGTTCAGTTGTAACTGGAGCAGACCTCATGCAAAATCAGCTTATCTCCTTCATCCTGCCCTCTCTTTCACTCTCTTTCTCCCCCTGCTCCACTCCAGGTACTAGTTCGGGGCAGAAAGCAGAAAATGGCATGCCCTTGCCAACGCTATCTGGTATGGCACCTGCACTAATGCCCACCACTCAGCTCACTGCAACTCAATAGCGATCACAAATGTTCAGGAGGGGTCTCTATGAGACAGGAAGATGCAGAGAGGCTTAAAACACGAGGACCCAGGTCTGGAAGGAGTATGTGGATGAAGGCGGCCTACAAACCGGATGGACGAGGGAGCGTGCCAGGGCCTGCACAGCTCACAGGGCCACAAGTGAGGACTCGGTCAGAACCCCCTGAATTGCAGGGGGAATATCAAGATCTACTTTTCCTATCTGGAAATTAGCCCCAGGAGACGTGCTTCCCTCAGAGGTGATAGTAGGTCTAATCAGGTGTAAATGGATTTATAGCCATACAAGGGCTCTTAAGGAGAGCTAAGGATGCTTGAGAAACAGGACTTGACATTTAGCAAGGTGAATCATGGCAAGAATTCATGCTCTCCCACAGAATGGCCTCTGAGATGGAATGTGGGCTAAACCAGTATGGCTTTTTTTTTTCTTTTAGTTTCTTACAGAGTAACTCTCTCTACATCACGATCATCAAATGTGATTGGTCCAATGCACGTAAATACTTTTGAACATGCATCTCCGATATAAGTAGGTTTATTCATGAATTATATAAGTTTACTGATGTCCTAATACATTAGGATATTATAAAATATGCATTCACTATAGAAACTAAAAAGAATGAGAGTAAATTAAATATAAATAGGAGGTATGCATTTTTCTTCCTGTGCTCAAAAAGACTATGTTGCACACCCTACTTTAGAGACCAGTGCCCCATAGAATAATTGGAAGCAGCTTGGCTCCCAGCCCATTGGTCCTGGTGCTTCCATACTCGGTCTCTGCAGTCCATTCTCCCTACAACACTCAGACAAACCCTTTGAAAATATAAATCAGAGCAGGTGGGTTGTTTATAGGGGATTTTGGTCTTTATATTGCCATAAATTGGTTTCTCTGACATCCCCTGGATTTTACTTTGTGCATTTGAAAACATTCTATGAAACCTTTTACAGATTTCACCAGACTGCCAAAGAAGTTCCTGACCCAAACAAGGTTAAGAAGAAATTAAAGTATAAATGCTGCACTGGCTTCCTGTCATTCTCAGAATCCAGGTCAAAAGCCTGTGCAGCCCTGTCGTATAGACTACACGTGATCTGGCCCCTTTTTAATCT